AGAAAACAAGTGTTTGCAGTAGGGAGACAGAGTTCACAGAAACAGGATAAATTACAAAAAGGAAGGGAAATAATTTATAAACATTACACCTTTTGTAATACTTTTTTCTTCCTAGTGAGTCTGATTGGAAGAAAGCTCCTGGGAGGAATCTCAGGGCTTGTTCCAATTCCCACTCCCACCAGTGGGTAAGGTCTTGACTTATACATCCCAGCATCCAACACCAACCGTGACACTCATAGGAATATAAACTCTCACATGCAGGAGTCATATACCACGATGGCAACCTTGATCCGACTCCCAGAAAACACTTAAGAGGATAGCAGCATAGGCCACTTCAAAGTCATCTTCCAATATAAGCTTAAAGCAGCACAAATAAGTGCTCCCAGCACTATTTCTCAAGAGAGCTATTTCAGATTCCACATAAGAATAACTGGTGGCCTTGGATAAATCATTCCTCTCATTTATGTGATGAACGGGAGAAAACAAGTCAACAACTGATGCATGCAAGAGCATTTGGAGGTGATGGATGGAGACATTATGGTGCATTTTGTCAATGGCATGCCATTAGAGAAAACCATTTCATAGAGTAAATTAAGAAAACAAACCAGCTACGTGATACACTTCAAATTGCTGCTGGTCATAGCGGCTTTTTCCTCCAGGAATGAAGTGATGTAGGAATGACATTATCATCACAGACTCCCTTTCCTAGACTTGCTGCCTGTGTCTGCCAGACATATAACACTTCACCTTGCAATTTCTCCACTGCTACAGACATGCATATAACCGGACAAATCTCTGTTTCAAATATCCCAACTTTCATTTCATGCTACCTAGAACTATTATTTAAATGCCTTCTTGCTCTTCACTTTCATACATCAATATTTTGTTTTCTCTACCAAGTTATAAGGCCTTTTCTTGGCAAGTGCTGGGTTTTTAAAAAGAGGATTACCAGCCCAGGACCTGACTTACAATATTGAGTAAATATTTGTTTTCATTGGTGATTGGTTCTGCCTACCTTTCTCACATACCCAGCTATTATTTGCTAAACATCAACTCATTCATTAAAGTATTACCTGGGTCACAGATGTTGGGAATGTAGACAAAAGGCATAGTCACTGGCCTTGGGAAGCTCCCAAATAGGAAAGAAACACCCAGAATGTGGTGCAGACAGAGTTATGTACATACTACTATGACAGTTTAGGATGGAAATACTATAGTGGGAATGGGGGATCTGAGCTTCCAGGAAATGCGATTTCCTTTGGAAATTAAGCTGTTGTCACATAAGCCTTATAGTCTACTTGTACAAGGGCATGTGGGCAAACCCAAGCATAAAGCATAAAGCATTCTGGTTCCAAGTCATTTGCTCTTTGAGGAGCTCCTGTGGAAATGCTCAACCAATCCCAAGGTCATCCACTATGGTGGGGGCAGAAATGGACCATGAAATCACAAATCCTTTACGTTGGTAAGTGAACTCTGAGAGTGTTCAGACGCACCTCACGGTAACTGTAGCTTCATAAAAATCAGAGCTGATTGATGGGGAGGAGGCTCCCTGCTTTGTGTGTTTAGTCTACTTGAGCTTTTAGTATCAATGTGGCTGTGCTTCCTAATGGATATGCATTTCTCTCACTCACCATTACCCAGATATAGATGCTCAGAAATGAAAGCATTTTTACTTCCAGACTTGCATCATGTAAGATCCCTAATTCAGCAAGGAAAAGAAAGGGAGTTGAGAAGAACCTACCACAAATGTTTTGCCAGAGAGCTCAGAGGGACAGGAATTTAAAAAGTGCAATTTGTGTGTGTGTGTGTGTGTGTGTGTGTGTGTGTGTGTGTGTGTGTGTATGTGTGTGTGTGTGTTGAGTTTTCAGCTGCATCATACTGACTCAGTCCAGTTCAAGGAATTACTATGGGTAACAGAAAGTAAGAAGCATCTTTTTGTCCATATTTTTTATCTTTAAGAAATTATGATTGACAGAACAATAAAATCCTCCACCTAGGACCTTGATCATATTACCACATCAAGCCTGAAAAATCCATTTCAAGGTCAGAATTATTCACATTATATAGATGTATATAATTGCATGGTCATGGTTCCCCTGCAAAAGTGGGGCTCTTTACTGACCTCCAACGCCATCAAGAACTGCAACAAGCCTCTCTTTATAAGAGCAGCAAGAACCCCAAGGGCAGATAAGCAAACCTGACTTTTCAATTCAGGTATCTAATTTTGCCAAATCTTTTTAAATCTGTGAATGGGAAGAGTTCTCCACTCTCACATCACTGAAAATACAACCCCAAATCTGTTCATTTAAAGACTCTCTCTCGTTATAAACTTTCAACTCCTTCTGGCTCAATATCAGTGAATGCTTTTTTTCTGTAAAATTTTGTCACACCCCCTTTTTATCTTATAACCATGCTTGTGGCAGACAGAGCATGGCGGATTGGGTGTTTTGTACAAAGCCCTTTAGGAGACAGGCTATTGCTGCTCTGACACGGGGCCAGTGTTACGCTTTTCTTCATCTCCATTACTTGAGTAAATATATATTCTGGCCCAGGTCTTACACAGGGAGAAATGAAAACTAGGAGGCTTTGGGATTTGCTAACTTCAGACAGAGCACTTGCTTTGCTCCCAAACAATGTCTACGCTCTGCACCCTCATTCAGCAAGGATGTGCAGTGGATAATACTAAGATATCATTTTAATTTTCAGTATCTTTTTAGGCCCCGTTCCCACTTTCTTAGAAGTGTTCAGATGTTTTTGTTCAATCATTAAACACCGTGATTTGAAGTTTACTTTGTGTTAAGAATTGGTCCATAAGCTGGGGTATTTGGAAACACTGCTAGGCAGCGTGAGCAGGAAGCAGATGCAGACACGAAGGATTCCAGGATTGGGCAGTCTTAACATGTGGCTTCACAGAGTTCCAGGCCCACGTTTCAATACCATCTTCTTAACATGAAATTAGCTTCTCCTCCTTTATAGTTCAATGGCAGGATTGCTGATGGCCTGTCTCTGGCATGGCCATTCCAGAAGTTTAGAGTTCCTTTTCCTTTTTCTTTCTAAATACCACCTTTATCTTCCCATGAAAGAAAAATAAAAATCTCCTTAGGAGGCCCCGCTTCTGCCTGGTGCCCATGTGAAGTCAACCTTTGTAGTTCATGAGAGGCATGCAAACGATCATGGAATTGCTATGGCCACACAGCAAATCAAAATATATCTATATGTTGGTGCTTGAACTATTAATTCTAAGCATTTATTTTACTTGACATTCAGAATTCATCAAAGATGAAGAGGCAGTTTCTGACTGTAACTGATGTGATTTTATAGCAGAAAATAAGCACCCACTCTGTAAGTAGAAAACCGAAATATTTGAAAGAAATCTCAGAATCTGACCCCCGGATGTTCTTTCCAGGATTTATTTCCACCTCCCTGAAGCAGTTTGCCAGGGGGCACCCAGTTCCTCCTCCTACTGGAGATGGCACTCACCTCTGCCCTCTGTGCTTCAGAACGGTCATAGCTGTTTGTCATGTATTTTGACCTGAGTGTGAGTGTCAAGCCTATGTGGTGTTTTTAAGGAATTCAAACACTTTCTTGAGATAAAGTGCCACCGGTGCCAAGAGTGAGGAAACCCACAGAATCCTGACTGGAGAATCTCAAGGCTAAAAATAAGTGACCTTATTTCACACCCACTGTGCACCTTTATCAGGATGTGAAGCAATGATTTCATTGTATGAACTCTTGCAACTTTCTCCTCCTAATCCCATTTTATAAGGAAAATGCTTAGCTAATGGCATCAGTGCAAGTTAGGGGAGCACTGATGTGGGCTGGTCAGTGGCCCTAGAATTTTTGCTCCTACCTACCCACAGACCTATACAGTGATCAAGTAAGGGAAGTGGTCCAGCTCAATGTTATTATTTAGCCACACTGCAGGATACACACAGGCTGCTAGATGAAAGATGGGAAATGTTCTGTGACTCAGGCCTGTTTCATATCAGCTTCTGGAAAGCTTCAATTCCTCTGGTCTGGAACCAGTGGGATAGGAAGGGCAAGTGCTATGGAATTACACAGACCTGTTTTGGAACCTCCGATTTTTCTAAGGAAAGTCATTTGATTTCAGGTTTCTTGCCTTCATAGCTGTGAGCTCCTTGAGGATTTTGTGAAGAATACAAACGAAATCTGAAGCCTGCTCAGCAGCAGCGATTCTGGTACTGGAGGGATGGAAAGTGTCCATCTTGTGAGAGCAATTTTGCATGGTTCCTTGTTACAAGGCCCAGAGGAGAAAGCTCTGAGCTTTTGGACAGTGTTGACAGTTCCCTCAGAGATAATTAACACACAGAGTCTAGGGATCAGAGGAGCAAAGCTCCTACAATGGGTCCATCTACCCTCTAGATTTAGCTGACTGGATTGCTTCCTCCTCCCACACAATGGAAAGCAATTTTAGTAAGTACTCAGCTTAATTAGCTTGTGTCCAGATATTCTCTCAAGGGTTATGCACAAACACTTGTCATTATGGCTACCCACCTAGCTCTGCAAAGCCTGCTTTTCCAGAAGCTGCCAGTTCAATAATCAGATGCTATGCCCACCCAGTAGTTTACCTAATGTAGCAGTTCAGAGGCTGCAAATGTGCAGTGGTTATGTATCTCCAAGATGCCCACACCTTGCTCACTACCACAAACATGCTCAACACCGAGGGCATTCATAGACTTGATTGTACGCTTCCTGTGTTCCTGTGGAAATCACAAAGGCCCCAGATGAAATATTCAACCTCACAAACCTAAGGCAAGATAGACGAATGTGATGGAAGAAGAGTGCACTGCATATCTTATTGATCTATCTGTCAGCCTGTGATTGGTGAGTGATAAAAAAAATGATTAAAAATTAGGGGAAAACCACTGATTCTAATTCCTTACAAAAAGATTATTGATGCTGTGGAATAACCACCCCCCCCCCCATTTCCAGGAAGAAGCTACCATCCTTCTACCAGTCATTTCTCCAAACAGCACAGATTTAAAAATCTTGCAATTTTATTTGCATATAAAGGCCGCTAGATATAGAATATCACAATAAATTTAAAGAAACAACTGCTTTCCTAAATTTCATGAACAAGATAACATAAAATAGAATAAAGCTCAACAGCATTTACAATGGGAAAACAGAAATAACTATTAGCGACAATATTTTGTGCTAGTGAAGATTGCATCGACACACAGTGCAAAATGGGAGTGGGCGAAGGGAGGAAGAAGACAATCCACGGTACTTAAATAGAAAGGACAACTAAGCCTTATTTTAGTTCGCTTCCATTGCATCCACGTACATCTATACACATTGATAATTGTACCTAGATTTAACTCAAGCTCTTTAAGACCTTGAATTTTGAAAAAGTGTGTCAATTTTTTTCAGACTTCTGATGCGCTGCTGTACAGCATTCCTTTGCAGTTGTACTGTCCTTGGCAATATTAAATTCCTAACATAATCATAATACACAAAAAATACTTATATATATAAACCCATGTTGAAAAGGAGTCTGAAGACTTGTTTTCCTTTTACTGCATGAAATACCTGCTCTTGACAGATTCCATTTCCATGTTTTTAAAGCTAAAATAATTTAAAAGAGAGAAGCAGACAATGAGACTTTGTATAACCATGATATGGATCTCACTAGCTAAGCCATCCTTTAAACAAGGGCCGTTTTCTTCCCTTGACATGGTTTTCTTGATAGCAAGAGTGTGAAGAGAAGTCTTTTTCCAAGCCCATTTCTGGTGAGAAGGTTCTTTAAATTGGGCCACATCTGCAGAAAGAAAACATTTCCAAGAATACAACAAAAAATATCAAAATATAAAATACTTCAAATAATACTCTTAAACAGTTGTGCAAATCTGAATGGTTTTTAACACTGCCTACCTGTTTTCTTTTCCCTTTCTTTTTTTTTCCAGCTTAAAGCATATTAAAATAAGACTTTCATCATTTTTTAAAAGAAAGCTTGGCTGTCCCTTTGGCGAACACTAACAATTTACAACGGCGTGGCCTTTGAGAAAAGAGAAGTCATTTTTTTTTCTTTTTTACAAATTCACAAGGCTCCTTTGATTTCAAATGGATGAAAAAATAAAAAAGAAGCACAACCTCTAGCATCATTTGTGTTCCGACAATTTACAAAAAGAACTCACAGAATCTGGAAATAAATGAGTAAGAGAATGTAAGTTTATAATTAGAAAAATGGCAGTTTATCGACTTTCCCTCACGTTCCAACAGGGCCTTTAGAACTTCAGGAACCCTGTGGGTTGGGAAGGTCAAATATAATTGGAGGGTTGGTTGGTTGAAAGCTGACTGTACATGTTGAGGCATTGATGTACGTCGTGTAACCGTCGGTCATGATGCCGTAACCTGTAGGGAGACAGTGTCACAGTTACTGCAAGATACACAAACCACAGTGACCTGCTGAGCTCCGGGCTGGCAGCAAGAAAAACAAATACAAAATTTTGTCAGCTGGCAATGAGACAGAATTCACCTTAACCTCCCCAGAAACAATGGCTTTCACTAGCTTGCTGCTGCTCATTTTTTTTTTTTCTGTTTTCTTTATGTAGAATTCTCTGCGCCAACAAACTGATTATTTTCCCTTATTTGAGTGTTAAACTTGTTGGGGGAAAACTAGGGCTTTTTTACTGGTGAAAATAAAGAAAAACATTTTACGTCTTTTTAAGACAGTGTTTTCATTTCCAAGCTCTGTGTACACTGTGGAGTCCTAGGGCCATGTGGATTCCTCCTGAAGGGCAAACACAACCAAATCCCAACAGGTTATCAGGAGATACACTGTCCTGTACTGGGGCTTGCGACCTACTGGAACAAAGTTAAGAAAGTTTCCTTAGGTCTGTGGATGCCTCTTCCTTTTATAACATTAAATATGTAAAAATTTTAGGATGTTAGCAAGTTCATCTATTTTCCTGGATGCCTTTTACTGCTTTCTAAGCCAAGCGGGTGCTTCTATGTTGGTATCAGGTTGCAATCGCTTATAAAAACATGACCATGTAAAAGAAAAGCACCTGGACTTATACAAATAACTAATAAGGGATTTTTTTTCTCTGAATTCTCTTTCATTTTGTACAATTTTCCCCAGTAAGCATATGGGGAGCATAATGAGGGTCAATCGAAAAACCCCTTAAGAAAGCGGTATTTCAAATGTGCACTGTTTGGTTGTGAGGTCATAAAGTCTTGTTATCTGTCTCCATCAAGAGGCTGGTATTTGCCCTCTCTCTGCCCTCTTTAGCTGTCTTAAGTGAATAAAAGCAAGGCAAGTTTATTTGAATATGATATCCCTTCCTCTAAAGCAAGTTGATTATTTAGGGGCTTCAGTGGAATTTCCCAATTGTCTGGCCAGTTTAAGGATAATTAATGATTTTGTTCTTAAGAGCAGACGAAAGGCAAACCCATAGGCATGCTGTAGAAATGGAAACCAGTTTTTCAGAGAGAAGCCCTGCAGCCTTGCTGTTCAGAAAGGAGGCGCCATGTCTCTGTGGTCTCCCCTGCTGGCATCCCCCTCCCATCCTGCTGTACAGTGGTGCCCCCCTTGCAGGGCGCATGGCTCTGAGGCCGGCTGGTTGCTCTCTGGTTGCTCTCTGCCACATCTCTGGCTTTCCAGCCCCTCAGCTGGGGCCAGCGCGGGGGAGCAAGCTGGATTTTCTCTGGCTTCAGGAGGATGATTTTCAATATGCTCTTTATTACCTGCCTAACCAGGAAGCCACTGGCTTTGTGGGCTCTGAAAAACAAACTTTGCCTTCTTGCTTCATCAGACACGTAGGCTTCAACACCTCAGTTGGATTGCAAATTCATAAATAAATGCAGACAGCGGCTATAAGCAGGAGCTGAAGAGAATATGGTGGTTGCCTATCTAAATACACACACATACACACACAAAATGTATGATGTAACTGGGGACCTCTGGGTGGCTCAGAAAAACCAAGGACCGCTGAAAAGGCTTTTGTGCCTATCCAGAAGTTCAGCTTTCCCTGTCTTAAAACAAGACTTGGCAGACAGAATGCAGAGCCCTGAAGGTTCTTGTCAGGTTTCCAGTCCCTGTGACCTTGACTCTGCTTACCTTGAAAGGCGGAAAACAGCAACCGGATCAGTTCTCACTCAGGGGAGATGTGATTAGTCTACTAAAATGAGCATGCGCGAACAGTTTGGTAGATTAGTAAGAAAAGGTCTACCTGCAGTTTTCAGGTTCCTGCCACTTTCGTTATATAACTTTCATTGCGTGTCTGAAGTCAGAGAATCTGTCTTCCTGGGTCTTTGAGTGCATTCTGTTTAAAACAGTATTTATGGGCAAAAGAGATGACTACACACACACTAGCTTCTCTCTTAAAGTGAAAATTTATCCTTAGTGCATTCAGGATTGCTCTACAGCAGTAGTTACCAGAAATTCTTCCTTAGGACCCTGAGCATGCAGACATTGCCTGCACAGGTGTTTGGCTTTCACAGAGGTGGGCACAAACGTGTTCTTATGTCCTACTAAAAAGGGTAGCAGGCGGGCCTGCGTGGTAGCCTAGCACCTAAAGTCCTTGCCTCGCCTGTGCCAGGATCCCATATGGGCGCCGGTTCTAATCTGGGCAGCCTTGCTTCCCATCCAGCTCCCTGCTTGTGGCCTGGGAAAGCAGTCCAGGATGGCCCAAAGCCTTGGGACCCTGCACCTGCGTGGAAGACTTGGAAAAGGCTCTGGGCTCCTGGCTATGAAAAGGTTCTGGGCTCGTGGCTTCAGATTGGCTCAGCTCCGGCCATTGTAGTCACTTGGGGAGTGAGTCAGAGAACAGAAGATCTTCCTCTCTGCCTCTCCTCCTCTTTGTATCTGACTTTCCAATAAAAAAAAATTTTTTTAAGTGTGGCAGAAATTTCACATAAAATATTTATTACTTTCATGTGCAGAGGTTTCTTCAAATGTTTCACTTTAGAAAAGGGTTCCACTGCTGAAAAGGTTGAAAACCACTACTCAGTGATTCCCAGTTTTGCCAAAGTGCACCCCTGTTAACTGGGTCCTGGGTAATGACATCCATGCTATGAGTCCCCTTTTGGCTCTTACCTTCATGAATTCCCCCAAAGACGTGCAGCTTGGGCCGGACTCTCCTTTGGACAGTGTTTAGAAGCTCCACACAACCCACCCTTTGAAGTTCCTTTGGAACCCAGTCTCGAAAACCTAGGGGCAAAACACAATCAATATTCTTAATTTTCTTTCTTCAGGTAAGGTTTCATTTAGACTTTCAGGAAGCCATAACTCATGGAAGGTCTATTACATTATCTGTAATCCTAGATGCTCCATTAATGCTCACTATGGCTTTTAAGAAACTTTTTACTCCTCACTTTGTCTTCTTTAGGCTCTTGAATTTTTTTCAGCTGCACTTTTTTCCCTTCCTGTTAATTAACATCTTTTTTTTTCTGTAAGGGGTTTGATTTATTTATTCAGCCACAAGTTTCAAATCTTCTTCATGGGTGCAATGACATTTATTCCTGGCAAGACCATAATACCTCCTCCTCCCTCAATTCAGTTACTTTCTCTCTCTCTTTTTGTTATATCTCTCATATAATAGCTTACTTCCAAGATGGTTTAAACAAGAAGGACAGGGAGAGCTCCTGTAAGCTGCTCAAGAAATGCTTTGCTCTTTTTCGTACAAAATCTCTTAACCCTTGGTGGGTACCAATGACCAAAGCTTTGGAAAGCCCAGTTGCTCCACCAAGCTCCTCTCTTGCGGTAGACAACAAAATGACCTCAAGGTGGTATGCAGCAAGCTGGGGCTAATTGACTGCTTTTAAACTAAAAGCCACTTAGTTTTCTATTTAATGCAGAAAATCTATAAAAACTGACATCAATTATAGCCAAAGTCAGCTTTCTGGATGATTATGGTCTGAAATGGAATCTATATACCTCAGAGGGATGGGCCAAGAAAAGGCAGGTGGGATGAAAGTTTGCAGTGTAACCTATGAAAATCCATTTCACAGCACCAGTAGGTAATGTGAACTATTTAGAAATGACCGGGTATAAAAGGACAGCTTTTGACTTTTTTTTGGTCAAACTGCTGACATGAATACTTAATGTTTCAGTAAAGACATAGTAACTCAGGTTGAAGGAGTGACCAGAGTCAGGGGAAAACATCAAATGAAAATGGGGGTCCTAGAGCTGTCATGGTGACACGGCAAACTAATCATCTGCCTGCTCTGCTCACATCATATATGGCTGACAGTTCCCCAGTTCTCCGCATTTGATGGAGTTCCCTGCTAATGGTCTCGGAAGGCAGTGGAGGATGGTTCAAGGCCTTGGGTCCTTGTATTCACATGGGAGACTCAGAAGAAACTCCTGGGTCCTGGTTTTGAAGCAGCCCAGCACTAGCTATTGCGGCCACTTGGGAATGAACCAACAGATGAAAGATCTCTCTGTATCTCTACTGTTTCTGTAACTCCAACATTATAATAAAAATGGATTTAAAAAAAAAAAAAGAAAATGGGGCACCCTAGTCAAAGTCCTAGAGTTTTCAAATACAATTAAAGAAAGCATCCTTTATCCATGGTGATTATTTTCTCATCTCATGGATGCATTTTTCTTAAAGGAAGAAAATATCCTATCCCATTGCCCAATGCCTGTGAAAGCTTACTATTCACAGACAGTAGTAGGATCTTGTGACATTGCAGCCTCTCTCACTAGAGGGAAATAATTCAAAGCCAACCTTCCCATCTACTTCTCTCAGTATAACATATTCACAAGAATTCCCAAAACTTGTTAGCGAAGATTCTGCTTTCCATTATGGAAGTACTGCATGATCGTTTACTCTGCAGCTTCTTAATTTAGGTCCCACTCTTCCACACAGCACCTCTTGGTGGTTAATTCTACTTTTGCAGAGGTTTGAATGCTTCTCTAGCAAGAGTGGTTAGGATCTCCGAATCCTTCAGATTAGCACTTGTATTTGTTTCCACACTGCAACGAATGACTTGGTAAAGTGTAGAAACTGATTGTTCTGTTCAAAGATATAATACTTCAGCCGTGCAAACTGTGCTGAAGATGTACCAATTCCTTGCAAAATTGGCCTAAGAGAAATAAGGCCAGCACTCAACTTGGTTGCTCCAGAAAATGATCAAGATGGCTGGATATTTTTATAAGATACTCTCCTTGGACACTTCATGATGATCAGGATATTTAGCTAGACAATGAGTGCTTCAGCTAGCCTAACAGTCACAAAATAGGGAAGCTAACTGATTATGACTCAATCACCTATTGGGTAAGTACTCTCTTCTAAAACATGAGATGAAGGCTATGGAATAGTGAAAGAAGCATGAGAATGACTCTGTACCATTTCCACATTGGCATCAGAACTGACTCTTCCCCCCTTGCTTGCTCCAGCCTTAAGATGTGTCACAGGGCCAGTACTGTGGTATAGCAAGACAAGCCACTGCCGGCAGTGCCAACATCCTATATAGGTGCCCAAGTTCTTGCTTTTGCTCCCCTTCTGATCCACCTTCCTGCTAATGTGGATGGGAAAGCATTGGAAAATGGCCCAAGTACTTGGGTCTTTGAACTCATGTGGGAAACCTGGAAGAACATCTGACTCGTGGCTTCAGTCTGGCCCATTCCTAGTCATGTGGCCATATGGGAAGTGAACCAGCAGGTGGAAGCCCTCTCTCTGTCCTTCATTCTCCATCTCCCTATAACTCTGCTTTTCAAATAAAGTAAATCTTAAAAAAAAATAGCAGATGCTTCACCATGACCCGTGCCCTGGATCTTTCCTCCACTATTTCTTTGTGAAACACAGAACATTTCCCTTGTAAGGGAGAAATAGTACCAAGCAGCTTGACGAGAGAAACTTCCGCAAATATTCAATTTGCATTACGGGGAGGTTTTAGGTTTTTCTTTGGTGGGAGAGAGGAGTAGTTGAAAAAAGCAGAAAGATATGGATAATGACATTTAACCACAAGAAAACCTATGAAAATCATTTGTATGTTATGAGCTGTTGTCCCCTTCATTCCAAATAGAGATAATAAAAAAATTCTTTTAATGCTGTACATTCAAAGTGGATATCAAACTATAACTCTGCCACAATTAAAAAGAAAGAAGAAAGAATCTCTTATTAGAAGTGACATATCCGAATTTCCTGAGTGCACACATTTTAGTTGGACAGAAGTAATGGGTAATGTGTAGATGGATGATTCAGGGTGCTATTGCCAGTTGAAAACTGTCCCGTGACTAAGCGAAACAAGCCTATGGGTAATTGTAAATTATAGGGAGCTCTTTTTTCATATCCATAGGTTCTGAATCAGCTGATGCAATCAACTACAAATTTAAAATATCCCACCCCCCAAAAATACTGTGCCCTAAACATGGACATTTTCTTGTTTGCATTCTTTTTGTCTTTATTCTCTAAACAGTAAAGTATAACAATTACCCATTGACATTCACATTGTTTTAGGTATTCTGTGTACTCAGTGTAACTGCAGTATGAGTGTCCTTAAGTATAAACCCTTTCCAAACATCTTAGCTTTAAAAAGTAATTTTCTCTTATGATCATTTCTAATATTAAACTTCAAAAATCCCCCAGGTTGCAACATTATTTAAAAAAGCAAAATGAGCTTCTTTGAGCCCAAGTTACTATCGTTTTCTTGTCATTTAAAAGCCCTACAATTCATAGAACCATGTGTTTCTTCCATGCCCCAAGCCACCTCCTTTGCTCCAAAGTCAATGTAACTCATATAAATAATCAAGCTCCAAAGACTGTGGTGCTCCACACTCCTTTTGGATTTTCCCTGACTCAATCAAATAAAAAAAATTTTTAATCTCAAGAACACCTGTATGCCTAGCTGAACTGCTGAGTTTAATTACCGTACTAAGTATCTCTAAAAGCATTGACTTTTCTTCTGGTATCTGCTTGTTTTGCAAGTGGGCAGGGGTGATTATGTCCCCAAAGCCCTTATTTATTATGCTGGGGAAAAGGCATCTCCTATGAACAAAGGACACCTTTACTTCACTTACCTAGAGGAGGTCCATGTGTCATGAGTATGTCGATGCCCTCAGGGATGAGGTTCCACTTGTCCAGCAGAGATTGACCTCTGGGTAGGTTAAAGCCCCATCCATTAAACCACGGAGTCCTTTGGGGGAGATAACGCACAGGGTATCAGGCGCAGAGCCACGTCTTCACTCTGCAATATTTCTTTCGCACGTTCCCTGTGGCTTAGATTGCTCTTTTTGATGGCTGGCCCTGGCAGCAGGATATTTTTTTGTTGACTACTTCAAAACAATCTATTTGAAAGTAAATGTGTAGCCTACAGATTGTTCCAGTAGAAAGGACACAGAAGCCTTCACAGTGCAGCTTTCCCAGCAGGCCTCTCTCAAAATCGTGACAATGCTTTGTTTTCATCCAAAGCTCTGTTTCTGATACAAGATACCCATTGCTGATCCAAAGCATCACCACCTTAGCCTCCTTTAGTGCCTCGGAGCTTAGGAATTCCATCTATACTCTGTCCCTCCCCATCACTATGGAACTACCTAGCCAAAAAAAAAAAAAGAATGCCCACTGAAGTCCTGGACCAAAGAACAAGGATCTGAGGCAGAAACCTCTTCCTGTGAGATGTCTGAATACACTACACTGACACGAACGACTGAAAAAATGTTAGGGCTCTTTTCAATGAGAAGGGACACTGTGAACAAAAAGCAAATGTGAGCTTTTTCTCTTACCACCAAAGGAAAAATTGAGGGGACAGCCCTTGCCACTCTAGAATCCACTTCCCTGACCAGGACTGTGTGGGTTTCACCACAGCAGGAACTTCCGCTCCAGGTCTGAGATGCTGGGCATCCATGCTGTGTGAAGGGAAGAATTTTTCTCTAGCCAATAATCATTTCTAATTGAAGCTGAAAATGTCTCATTTTATGATAATGGGAGAATGCTTAATTCTTTTCCTACAAATATCACTGGCCAAATCACACAAGTGCAAAGCCATTCCTAGTACTGGCCTATTCCTAAGCATGTCGCTATGACAAGCATTTTACCTCAGGAACACTGACACAGCAGCCCTTTGCTGGTGGGCATACGAAGTCAGGAAGACATGTGAAAATCCAGGTGTAGGATGAGAACCTTAGTTCCTACTGAGGAGGTTGAGACCATATGTCAGAGAAAACAGGCTATGTGGCCTCAGAGAGCAAAAGAGCAAACAAGAAGTTATATCTGAAATGCATCCTAACCACTTTTCAAATCCCCGTGCCATCCTCAGGGTACTTATACATAAATAACAATAATAATATAAGAATCATTATTACCATGGTTGTTCTTTATTGAATCTTACTCCATGTCAAGGTACTGTTCTGAACATTTTACTTATATTTAAACCTTACAGCAAACTCAAGAAGTGGCTACTATTTTCCCCATTTCACAGAGCACAAAACTGAGGCACAACAAGATAAATTAAACACAACCAATAACTTGGATATAAACCTAGGTAGGCTGTTTCCAAAACCCATCGTTTTAACTACCATGAAGTTTCTCTTCTCATTTATTACCTAAATTAGTTTATTATACTTCCTGAACCAGACTTTCCTGGACACTTTCATGTGTCTTATGACTTGAAACCAAATGAACTCTAAAATGGAATCATCTATAAATTTCACGGTTATGAAATCACACAATAACACGGTGGAGTGGAACTGTGGTGCTTCTGCCTACTCAGACATTCTTGCCCTCCTCCCTTTTGGGCACAGCATCTGAATTGCCGTTGCTGAACCACTCGCCCCGCAACTTAGCACATGTGCGAAGGTTGACTTCACTCTCCTTTAAGACTGAGACTAGTATCCTCCTTTCTTCTCCCTTCACCAGGGATCTACTTAGAGATATTCAAAATGGACACTGGTTCAATGAGACTCATCCTCCACTGACTTTTGCTGGTGATTTGGGAGAAAATGTCACTGATTCCTCTCCAGGTCCACAGGCTTGAGAATTGTGAAAGTCTAGAATTGTCTGGGAGCTCTTTGAGTCAGCATGCAGAGTCCATGACTCAGAATCAAGTTACCACAAAGAAACCAAGAAACAGGACTTTAATGACATTTTGAAGACTGACCACCTGTACCTGAATCCAACCAAATTTTTCCTTCGAAGTGTATAAGCCAATAGGATCCCTTTCTTTTTATTAGCTCGAAATAGAACCTATTCATTGCAACTGAAAGAATCTGCATAGATACAGTTGTTATCTACAAGGTAAAAAAGATCTATGTCTCTGTGCCAGGCAATAGTGCCCACCCTTCCAAAGATTAACACATGTGTGGAACTTGTGTATGGATTCCGTTACTTGGTAGAAGAAAGTAAGATTGCTGACAGAATTCAGCCGGCCTTAAAAGTTCCCTGGCTTACCCAGGACTGCTTAGAAACTACATGGGTACCAAAAAGTCACAGTGAGAGTTGAAAGGGGAAGTCAGACTGATGTCATGTTAAAAGACTACATCTGCTGTTACCTGCTTTGGAGATGAAGGAAGAAAAATGAGAGCCAAGGAATATGTGCAACCTCAACTTGGACAAGGTAAGGATTTAAAAAAAAAATCACTACACATCTCCAGAGAGATACACAACCTTGTGAACACTTGATGTTTAGCCCAGGAGACCCACGGGACAGACTTCTCAACTTATTTGTAAGATATTAGATGGTGTTTGAAGTCACTAAAGTTCTGTAGCTATAATGAACTGGATATAAAATAAAGGGACTCTAAGTAGCATTGGACATGGCCTGATGTATAGTATATGCTCAACAAGCACAGCACCAACCCTCCCTCACTCTGAGCTGTACAGCCTTGTTCAGTGAATGCAATGCTTTGGGATTCTTTGAGAAAGCTGTGCTTGTTTTCTTAAGCCAGTCTGTTAAAGGGGCCACCAGCTACTGAAAGTCTAGGGATAATGCCAGGGAGATCCTTTTAGGGTAGAATTGGGAAATCTTCATCCCTCGGATCTTCTGGATCTTCTTGCCTTCAGGGTCTTCTACATTTCAAGAGGCTATAAGGTACAATCTTTTTATTTGGGGGATGCTTGCTCTTCTTATTCATTTTACAATGACCCTCTTTCAATGCTTGTCTTAAAAAATAAAAACCAAAAATGCAATTTTAGAAACCAGTCAAAACTCAGCTAGCCTTTTGGCAAGAGAAGGACAGAAAGAAAACTAAGCAAAAACATCTGTTTTCCTATGTTTTAAGGCAAACTTCTGGGACTATGGCTCTTGTCTGGATGACAAATAAAGGAGGGTTTGAAAGAAACCCCAGCATACTCAAGTGGTTGGTGCATGCAGGACCTCTGATTTTGCTGTCAGAGCCAATCTGAAAACAGCCAGCCCCTGAGTCATCAGGACACCATCCAGGCAAAGGAACAGGGCTTAATTTTTTTCAAGATTTCCAGTTTTCCTTCTAGAATTTTTTTCTGGTAAATTGTACAGCCATATGAGCACACTCGCGGGCGTGCACACACATACACACACACTCCAGGAAATGCTCGGTTTTATAAATGCTCTGTAAAAGATTAAGACAAACCTGTGCTCTATGGATTCTCTAAAATCATTTGGTTAACATTATGCTTGTGACAAAATGCAGAAGTTTCCAAGTTAAGGGTGAAGTTTAAAAACGTCTGGCTTCTATTTCAACTCAAAATTGTATGTATATAAGTGGTTAAGTTACAGGAAGAGAAATACTTATCAAGTGCCTGATATGCTTTCCATAAAGCTTTTTATATTGATTGTTGAATTTAATTTCCTACATCAACCCTGTATCTAGCTACTGCCGGCTTTAGTTTACGATAAAAACTGTGATGGCAAATAACTGATCCATGTTCCCAGGACCAGCCATTAGTGCAACCGAGATTTGAACCCAGATCTGGGTGTTCCAAAGCCTGTGTTCTACCTGCACACTCCTGCCTACAGCATTCTAGCCTGATTAGAAGCTTTGGCTCCCTCAGAGGTAAAGACAAATGTGGCTGCTCCATGTGGTTTCTCAGGTTGTGTACTGTCCAACTTGAGGAGGTGCTATGCAGCCATGTGTTTAAGGCGGACCGGAAACTTTCCATTTTTCCAATCTTCCATGTCACGGCTTTTCACAAGACAGTGGCAAGCACCAGGAAAAGTAGCCCAGTGCTTGCTCCCGAATTTCCCCAGCTTGGAAAAACAACAACAAACAAACAAAAACCACTGAAGAACTTTTGCTTGCCCCGTGCCAATTCCCACTCTGGTTTCAATTTACTAGCTCACTTGGACCAGGAATAAGAGAAATATCCTCCGTGGGTCAGCATCCTCCTCTGACAAGCGAACCGGGAGTGACAACGACTAAATTTCAAGATTGCTTTAAGCTTGTGGAAATTATAGGAAAAAGTCCCACACAAAGCAAAGTGGCCCAATGCAGAGACACTCCTGCAGGGCCACAGAGCAGGGAGACCTGCCTGCTCATCTAGTCTCTTAACCCGTACTTTGAAGTGCAGCTGGGAAACTCTAGCACTTGATGAGCTTTCTGTGCTGTAAAGATCCTAACATTTTATAATTCTGTGCAGATCAGCAAGATTCGGAGTAAGTGCTGTGAATTACTCTCAGTGAATTACCTAAATTGCCTGTGAGACCCCAAGTCTAGTGTGGGAGAAATAGCTGTAGGGAACAGAGCCTGTGTCAGCGTCAATGAATAATGCTTTATCCAGTTGAGTTTCAACCTGAAACATGAAACCCCAGCAGTAAGCCCATCAGGGGTTCACTGGAAAATATGTGCACAGCCAACCTCCAGAGCCCTACAATGGGTTTTGTTCCATAGCAATGGGGGGCAAAGAAGGGAAGGAGGCAGGAGGAATCCAAGAGAACAATGTCTATTGCCTGGGCCAAGGACTTAATAATTAGCTGTGACTAACAAATACCACATGGGAACCAACTTGGAATAAACTGTCCCACAAAGCACCTTACTGCCAGTGGGCCAATCTGAGGCTGCAGACTACCCCCTCCTAGGGAGGGATTAGCAAACCCTGGAAGGAAGGGGAGTGACTCCAGCTGCGTGAAACCACTGGACAGAGGTCTGAGATGGATGGGAGCTGGGGATGCTCTCCAGACTCCCTCCCCCACGCTCTTGAAATTACAAGCACTTGGCCTCTCTG